AAAAAATTAGCCGGGCATGGTGGTGCATGCCTGTAGTCCCAGCTACTTGGGAGGCTGAGGCAGAAGGATTGCTTGAGCCCAGGAGTTTGAGGTTGCTGTGCGCGAGGCTGACGCCACGGCACTCACTCTAGCCAGGGCAACAAAAGCAAGACTCTGTCTCAAAAAAACAAAAACAAAAACAAAACAATATGTACTTAAGTAGAACCAGTAGGATCTAAACAATGAATTCAAAGGATGAAGTCCAAAGATTTATGGTTTTAATCTTGGCTCCATTACTGACTTTCTGAGTGAGAAACCCTGGACTTGAGTCTCCGTTTGTTCTTCTTTAAAATGGCAACATTCTCCTTCCCTCCGTGCCCCAGAGATGTACCCAGAGAATAAAGCAACTGAAAACACTCAGAATTTTCACTTGGAATGCTCAAATAAGAACAATATATTAGATTACTTTCTCCCTTCTCTTTTTTCAATCTAAACCATTAATAGTTTTTAGAGATGTGTCAAAGCAAAATACTTAAAATTTTAGCCAATGCTGAAATTTTAAATCTTAAATACAATGAAAAGTTTTAAGAATTCACATATTAGTAAATCATTTTTGAGGTTACAGCAATCCAGCATGTAGCTGTTGGTTACTTTTTTGATGTGAAATAGGGACAGAGGACAGTGAGCCAAGGGCTCAAATCACTATCCTGAAAGGTAAATCTGCAATGGTTAATTTTTTATTTTAATTTGAACATATTTAGGCTTAATGCCTTCAGTCAGTTTAGATTCAGATTAAAAATTGGGTTTTTTTTGGTAAGAGATGGGGTTTTGCTCTGTCACCCAGCCTGGAGTGCAGTGGTGCAGTGCAGTCATAGCTCACTGCAGCCTTGAACTCCTGGGCTCAAGCAATCCTCTCACCTCATCCTCCCAAATTGCTGGGATTACAGGTGTGAGCCGCTGTGCCTGGCAAAAATAAATTGTCATGTGCGGATTTGAAATTATGTAAAAGATGAGTCTGGGCCAAGAGTGGCAGCTCACACCTGTAATCTCAGCATTTTGGGAGGCCAAGGGGGGAGGATGGCTTGAGGCCAGGAGTTCAAGACTAGTCTGGGCAACATAGCTACAAATAAACAAATAAATTAGCTGAGTTAGGCTGAAGCCATCCTCCTGCCTCAGCCTCCCTAGTAGCTGGACTATAGGCACCTGCTGCTGTGCCCAGCTAATTTTTTTTTTTTTTAATTTTTTGCAGAGACAAGGTCTTGCCTCCTGCTTGGGCCTCCCAAAGTGTTGGGATTACAGGCTTGAGCCACCACTCCCAGCCGAGATTATTTTTAAACAGAAGTAAGCACTCCTTGCTTTTTTTGTGCTCGGATCTCTGGGTTTCTTAAAGTTATACCCATACCTGAAGCTGACTACCATTAACTAGATTTTGTTTCTTTGAAGATAAAAACAGTTCTAAAGGAATAAAATGTTATTTCAGGGATGTTAATTACCTTTTTCTTTTTTTGTGCCTACTCTGGCAGTGACATTCCATATCATATTTTAAGATATCTCAGTCTTTCAGACGTATTATTAATAAATAAAAATATGCTTACCTAAAGAAGGAGCCAGCCAGTATACTATAAAAAATTGAGGGAATGCTTCATCAAAACACATGAAATGTAGTGAAAGTGCCAAAGCTGGATTAAATACAGCTCCTGTTAGACTTCCTCCTGTAATACATTTTAAGCAGAGTGATTCGGAATGATTTCTCTTACATTTTTTTGTAACTGGAAGTAAACGGGTTATTAAACATTACTTTCATTTTAGATACTTAAGTATTATTCTGTGTTTTTCCTTTGCAGAATAACCTGACATATTATAGAGTATAATAATAGATAATAGGTTATAATGTGCCAGGTACAAAAAAAGAAAAAGACAAAGGACACTAGGAGTTTAAATCCAGTGCTTTTCCTATATACTATAAAATGCACATTGAAAGTTAATGTGCTTTATTGTTCCTTTAGTTTTTATAAAATAGGAGATTTGGCTGCCCTTAACATTTATTAATTTAAATTAATCATAATAAAAGTAAAATGAAAATACAGTTAAAGTGGATACAATACCCCAGGAGCCTCTTGGACATAAGCATAGCTTTGTATTGAAAACAAAAAGTAAAACGGACCAATGAATCCATTTTTGGTTCCGTTTTTACTTTTCAACAGAGCCCGTAAGAAGTAACTGTGAGCCAGGCATGGTGGCACATGCCTGTAGTCCCAGCTGCTCAGGAGGCTGAGGCAGGAAGATCACTTGAGCCCAGGGGTTTGAGGTTGCAGTGAGTTATGATGATGCCACTGCACTCTACCCTGGGTGACAGAGTGAGACTCTGTCTCAAAAAAAAAAAAAAAAGAAAAGTGATTGTGAATAGTATGTGAATTATAGCTCAATAAAGTAGTTTCAAAAATAAAATGTGACTATGAGCAGTCATTAAAGATAAGCACAAAGTTAACTATTGACTACTTTTTAGGATTCATGTTCCAGCTCTGCACCGAGGGCATCTCTTTGACTTGAGGCCTAAGAGTTTATAGTCTGGCCACACAGCAAGTAAGGAAAGGCAGGGGAGGCTGGATATCTGTCCAGTAGTACTCTCCAGAGCTGTGGCTTCACTTTTCAAAGAACCTCCTAAAAGCATCCCTAAGACAATGCTATTTCCAGCAGTTTTTCCAAGTGGAAGTTTAGGCACACGCATCTCCCTTTTTATGCTCAGCCACAGAGATAACGCCCTAGATTTTCACAAGTTTTATATTGACATATACCACTGTAGCATGTTGTCTTCATAAAATGCAGTACAGTAAAATTGGGAATTAAGTGACCCTTTCATAAGATGTCACTAATGAGATTTCACACTTGAATAGGCTGTGAACAATGATGCTGTGTTGAGATGAAGCTCACTTGATGGCTAGGAGTTTTTTCTAGCATACCAGCCTCACAGCATGATTCATATTCATGCCTCAGCAATTATAAATGACATCGTGTCATGGACCTTTGGAATCATTTTTGAATAGTCAAATTCTGGAATGTTAAACCTGCAACTGCCAAGGGTCAACAGAATTGCTTGGTTGGCAGCTGGTCATTTTAGTTTGATTACACAAAAAAATTACTGAGTTTGATTCAAAAATAGACACAGTGGACAGAAAGATAAAGACTCACACAGATCTTTACAATATGATGTAATATGATATATGATGATAAAAGTGACCTGTGACTTGTAAAGGCATTTTTATCAATAAAAATGGACTGAACCATGTCCTCAATGTATGTCCTCTAGGCCATGGTACACTGAAGACTTTCCAGTAGGTCTAAGACAAACACTGTCAGTCTTATACCATACTAAAACTCAAACTACTTCACTTCCCTTATCTTCTAATCCTCACATCACCAATTCTGTTCAGTGTGACTTGGTGGAAGCTGCTCCTCTCAGCAAGAAGTAGTCTCTCTCCCCTCTTGAGGTTGCAGTTTGGGTTGACAGATAGAATGCATCAGAAGTGACACCATGTGAATTCTCAATGTGGCAGGAGTGATGCTGTGTGAGTTCTAGGTTCCGGTCTCAATAAAACTATCAGCTTCCACTTTTTGCTCTCTGGGAACAATGCCCTGAGCATATAAGTTATCTGGTCTAGGCTGCTGGAGGATGAGGGCCACATGGAGGAGAACCAAGGCATCCTACATGACAGTTGGCACCAACTGCCAGACATGTGAGTGAGGCTGCCTTGGCTTTTCCATCCCCACCACTGTCCAGCTGAATGCAGTTACATGAGTGATCTCAAGAATTGCCCATCTAACCCACAGAATCATGAAGACTAATAAGTTACTGTTATTTTAAGTTTGGGGATTATTTATTATACACCAATAGTTAACTGATACAGAAACACTTATCAGGTGTGGATTGTGTGTTAACAAAAGCCCAAAACATGGTATTGGCTTTGATGGTTTACTGCAGTGGTCCCCAACCTTTTTGGCACCAGGGACCAGTTTCATGGAAGACAATTTTTCCACAGACTGGGGGAGTGGGGTGGGGATGGTTTTGGGATGATTCAAGTGCATTACATTTATTGTGCAGTCAAACCTCTCTGCTAATGATAATCTGTATTTGCAGCCTCATCTCCACCACAGATCATCAGGCATTAGATTCTCATAAGGAGCTCGCAACGTAGATCCCTTGCATGCACAGTTTACAGTAGGGTTTGCACTCCTATTAGAATCTAATGCCACAGCTGATCTGACAAGAGGTGGAGCTTATGCGGTGATGTGAGTGATGGGGAACAGCTGTTAATACAGATGAAGCTTTGCACTTGCCCATGGTTCACCTCCTCCTGTGCAGCCCAGTTCCTAACAGGTCATGGACAAGTACCAGTCCACAGCCAGCTTGGAGGTTGGGGACCGCAGTTTTACTGGGTAATCTTTGTTGTAGGGGCTGTCCTGTGCACTGTGGGATGTTTAGCAGGACCCTTGCCCATACCTAGATGCCAGTAGCACAACCCTCTCCCTACATTATACCAACCAAAAATGTCTCTAGACATTGCCAGATGTCCCCTGGGAGGCAAAATTGTCCCCATTTGAGAATGACTGTCCTAGAAGAAAACTGATATTTGTGTATAAGAAGATATATACAAGGTTGTTCATAGTAGCAAAAAACTGGGAAAAACCTAAACGTCCATTCATAGGAAAATAGTTAAACAAGTTTATTATTACTTTGGAATATCATGCAATATTTTGAAATAATGAGAGAAATCTCTTTACTAACATAGATAGGTCTCCACAATGTATCATTGAACAGCTACCACCAAGAAGAGCAAACTGTTTCTTCATCCTGTGTCTCCCATGGCAAACAACCTGTGCTGAGTACTGCCCATTTGTCCTCCAATATGTATCTCCAAACACTTCTCTTTGTTTCCACAGCTCCCCCAACAGTTTGTTTAACCACTTACTCCTTGAAGGACATCTGAAGAGTTATCTCCAGTTTTTGGCTATGAGGAATAAGCCTGCTGAGTAAGGGATGATACTTTTTATGATAACATGAACATATACAATAATATATCTAATAATACATCATTTCTATAGGATCTTATCTGTATGTATGACAAATGCATATGAAAAGAGTTTGGAAGGATGTAACACACATACCACACAGAAGTATTACCCTGGTGGGAAGAGCAGGCAGAGCAGGAAAGGAGACCGGCATGGAAGGTGGCAGTCAAAAGGCACTTTAGTGTTTTCAATGTTTTATAAAAAGAACATACTCAAAATCATCAGGCACAAAAATACCAGAAAATGGCTTCAAAAAACAAATTACTATTTATTGACAGTTGAAAAGGAGATGACGTAACAGTGCATATTAAACAAGAGGTGTAACTGGGAGATCCATCTGGCTGACAGCCAAGAGTCAAAGGACAACATGAATTTAGGGAAATTACCAGACCCAAAAGGCTAAGTCCCAAATCTAGCAAAGTCTAGGCACTAAAGTTTCTCAACATTCCTAAAGGAATCAAATTCTCTATGACAGAAAAATACTAGTTAAAATCACCTAAGACTCATATAGAAGCTAGAAGGTCAATTTACTAATTTATAGTAGAAGCTAGCCCTTTCCAGTAACCAAAATATTTGTCTTCCCTCTCCAGGGCACCCGTTTTAGCATGTGATCAAAGCAAAAACAGAGTTATCAGATCAAGATGAGATCTGATAAAATACCATTGTCCAGAGTTGAAAATACATCTCTAATGACAAGAATTGCTTGGTTTCCTCAGATTCAATCTCTACCACTGGAGAGACTGAACAGTGCTGGACAGATACTTTCAAAGTTTGCATCTCCAGACACTCCACTTTTCATTGTTGGTTTATATTCTGTTCATAACACTAAGCTAGCCAGCTAGCTGTTTTCAAAGTAGTTGTTATTCTTACAGACTTGAAAGAATGACATTAGACTGTTCTCAGATGTGGGGAAGATCTAGGGATTTTTACAAAAAACAATTAACTTTGACTTATTTGTTATGGACAAATTTCTGTATAAAAGTTACAACTTATATTTTCCTGAACTTACCCCAAAAGGAGTTGTGAACAATAAAATTATCAATTATGCAAAAATGATCCCATAATACTGGAAGCTTGTGGGAATTAGTAGGGTGAAATAATAACATTTCCCAAGCACTTAGTATATGCCAGGTACCGTGCTACAAACTTGAATATCTCTTCCTCATGCTAGTCTTCTGAGATAGTATTCTCCATTTTAAAGATAAGGAAACTGAGTCCCAAATTATTAATTAAGTATCCAGCCTAAGGGCACAAAGTCCAACTCCAAACCTGTGTTCTTAACCACTATATTATACTGGCAAAGTAAAAAAACATTTGAACCTTTGAAACTGTATTTTTTTTGTAAATTGGTAATAGTTCCTATTTCATATGGTTATTGTATTAAGAGACAGAATATGTAAAGGACTTAGTTCCCTTTTCTTCTGACAGATAATCTTGCCTATATTCATGACTTAGAAGGACACCAGAAACTCCTGAATGGAAAGAAGTAAAAATACTACAATTTCTTCAGACAATTTATTAGACTAAAATAAGTCTTCCAAAACAGGAAGCCCTTAGATATAAAATATGGAATACCCAGATATGTATTATTTCTTTCTGTGCAATTTTAGAGTAAATAGAGTATTTGTTAGTTCATTCACTTACTCTAAAAATACTGTTTACTTTGTGCCAGATGGCACTACTAAAATACGGTTATACATTATGATGAATAAAACAAATTTGGTCTCTGTACTCAAAGTTTATCAATTGGTAGAAGAGGACAGGTATTCTGTCAGAAAAGTGTAAATTTTAAAATTCTATAAAGGAATAGAATGCAGTAATAAAGACAACTTACATATGTAAAAAATAACATTTTTTCAAAATCTATGCATAAAAAATGAATGCAGTTCTCTCTCACACTGTTCATTGAACTAAATTCTTCCAAAACCCAAATTAAGGAAGATTTGCTTGAAATCTGCATTAAGAGTTTATAGCTCTAATATGCTGATAAATCACACAGCTTTTTTTTACATTATTAGGGAAGCTAATAAATACGTAAGTGATAATGACCTCAGTAGGCTTCCATCTGCATATCAAAATTTGAGGTACTAAATCAATAAATACACTTGGTCATCCTAGGAGCCTGTGGCTATGTTGCTGGACAGTTATGTTCTGCGCATAATCAGTTATTTTGATGTGACCTGTATTGGTGAAAGTGATTAAAGAAATTTTCCAACATTCAACTTTGTCAAACCTGTACTTGTATTATCTTGGAAGTTTAAGAAAGAGATATCAAAATAACTTGTGATGATGGCTGTCTTAGCCAACTCTAACCCTGCCTTTCCTTCCCTATCCATTTTTTTTTTTTTTTTTTTGAGACAGGGTCTCATTCTGTCACCCAGCCTAGAGTGCAGTGGCATGGTCATAGCTCACTGCAACCTCAAACTCCTGGGCTCAAGCAATCCTGCCTCAGCCTCTGGAGTAGCTGGGACTATAGGTGTGCACCACAACACCCAGCTAATTTTTCTATTTTTAGTAGAGACAGGCTCTCACTCTTGTTCAGGCTCATTCTTAAATCCTACCAACAAGAGCGTTGCCTCTGATAGGACAGACACTCAACTAGTCCCAAGACAGTCCATTTATTTCGAACAATGCTGTTCCAAAGTTATGACTTATATCCATAGAAAGTAATGGGGAGTAATATAGTTTAATGCAGCATTTCCCAAATTATGTTCTCTTCTGCTACACACTTCTAGACAAAAAGATCTCCTAAGTTTGAAAAACTATAGGCCAAATCCTCCTCTTGGAGTTTCACAATATATAGTGACAAAGTAAAGGCTCTGTGAGATCTTAAAATTAGAAAACCTGTTTAATCCAGTGTTTGCCAAACTTATTTGCCAACATAGTCCTTTTGTAACTTAAAAATTGTTTTAAATTGTGGTGAAATATACAAAATATGCCATTTTAGCCATTTATAAGTGCATAATTCATTGGTTTTACATTCACAATGCTGTTCAACTATCAGCACTATTTCCCAAAGTTTTCTATAATACAAACAGAAACTCTGTACCCACTAAACAATAAGTCCCCATCCTCCCAGGCCCTGGTAACCTCTATTCTACTTTCTGTGAATTTGCCTATTCTAGATATTCCATATAAGTGGAGTTATATATTTGTCCTTTTGTGTCTGGCTTATATTGCTTTGCATAATGTTTTGGAGGTTCATCTATGTTATATCCTCTAGGAGATAGGATATATAGGATGTATCAGAACTTCATTCCTTTTTATGGCTGAATAGTATCCAATTGTGCATGCTTTTGTAACTTTTGAGGAGCACACTGTAGAAATGCTGATAATGAAATCAGTATGGGCTTCAGTGTCAGTTTGAACTATGGTTCCAGCACATTCTAGCTGTGTAACCTTAAGTCATTTCACTTTTATGAGCCTCACTTTACTTAAAATGGGAACCTTATTCCTATTAATCAGTGGGTTGTTTTAAAGATTAAGATAACTCATATAAATGTCTAGCAATGCCAAAATGCTTGGCCTGTAACAGGTGCCCAGTGAATATGCTTATCTCCCTTATATTGGCAGAAAAGAAAACAAAAAGGAAGATCATAATACATAATGAATTTCTGTAACTAGTAGCAATCAATAGTTGTCTATTTGGTTCTATCCCTGCAAACAGTCTCCAGCACTGTCTAATACCATAGCCACTAGCTAAAGCACAATTTGACTACTGACCACTTGAAATGTGGCTACTGTGAATGAGGAAGTGAATCTTTAATTTTAGTTAAGTTATATCAAAATAGCCATACGCAGCTAGTGGCTACTGAATTAGCACAGATCCAGACTCCTAAAGCAGTGGTTCTTAACATTTGTTTCATAATGGGATCATCTGGGAAACTTTAAAATATACCACTACCTAGGCCCCTCCCAGAGTAATTAAATTTTAATCTTTGCACCCAGAATGGGTATTTTTAAAAAGCTCCCCAGGTGATTTTAAGGTGGAGAGAAGGTTGAGAACCACTGTTCTAGGCCGGGCA